GCATATCACCGACTCGAACAAGTTCTCCGCGTATGCACGCTTCGAACTCGACGTCTTGTGCCAAGCAGCACGAGCTGCTGTTTTTTCATCTTTTTTTTTTTTCATGTCAGATGTTCATGCATGGCCGTCTGCTCCACAATGTCGCCGTCTTGCTGATGAGCAGCAGCACTAAGCGACAGGTGACCAAGATTGATGCTCGTCCCTACAGAGGCGACTGTCGTCAAAGTTGAGCAACACTGATTGCCCTTTGCCCCCCTCGCTGAACGCTGCTCAGAGGACATCAGGACAAGATTCGAGCAAGGGCCTCAGAGATGCTAAGCCTGGTCTATTTTAGCCCTGGGCCTGGCGCCCTTTAGGCTTGGTTCCCCGGGGCTGGTCGATGCTGGCCTTTGGGGAAACGGTTCTCTCGATGAGGAAATGATCAGTGGCGACGTTTCAACTTTGCTATCCAACTGTACAGGAGATCAGCCCCCCCCAAAGCGAGATAGATTGGCTGTCCTCATCGGACTCGCCGCAGCAGGTGCGTCTTCACGTAGGTGCCCCTGCCGCAATGTGTGTACGAGTCGAGCGACGTTAGCCGCACACAATTTCAACGATTGCTGACAGGCAAGCTCAGGAGAGGAGCAGGAGTTTGGCGAGAGAAAAGACTGAGTTTCCGACCATTGGATGTTTCCGACCCGCAATGCCGCCGTGCTCTGGCGTCTTCCGCATCGCCCGCTGTTCCTGCAGTAGCGTCTCCTGCTCGCCATCCGACGAACGGTGACGGTGTCGCGGCGGCGAAAGGGGCTCGGCCGTGTGACTGGCCGCGCTGATAGCCTAATCGGTAAGCGTTGGCTTGACGCTCGTGGTGGCTGTCAGTCGACTCGTGCTACTTGTCAAGCTCCTTGTGGCTGGCGTTTCTTGGCTGCCCTATCCTCGGTCTCGGGGATGCAGCGACGTGGGATTCCGGTTGCCGACTCGTAGGGTCGTATCTCTAGCACAGAATACGGCTGCCGACAGCCGGATCTCCAAAGACCAATGGACGCGTCTCGCTCGACGAGCTGCGAACCGTCTCTGTCAGCGTAATCTTACGCGGTGCGACAGACGCTGAACTTCGACGCGTTCAGCCTCTCAGCGAGGATTCAGCGGTTTGTCACCCGACACCTTTCTTTGCTTTTGGCCATCGAAAATCAGGCGATGTCAGGCCACTAGCCCGGCTGACTAGTACCGATAATGAAGCCGCGACAGGAGGGGGAACCAGATGTACAAGTAGGGCGTCTGGGTCTGACCCCCTTCCCGTCCCGTGGCCCGCATGGTTTATCCTATCTGTCTGTCTTTCTTTCTACGTTTGAGGCTTCCGGCCGGCCGGCCTGCCTGCGCTTCGATTAGAGTGAGGGTCGAGACAGGGACGATGCGGTCTGTGTGCGGAGGAACAATTTCGCGTTCTAGCCCTGATTTAGGACAGAACGTCGATCTGAGTGAAACATATTGCGACGGGGTCTGGTCCATTGGCTCATTTTGTTCGACGACAACGACGACAACTGGAGTATAGTTTTGCGGGTGCCATGTCGCGGCCAGATTTGTCACAAATTGCTGGACTTTCTCGTCGCGGGGGCCAGATGACCGGGCCGGCTGGGCAGCTGACTCTGGCCGTACGGCAGGTACTTTATGAGCTACGATCAGTGCGCCAGGTGCCGCCATCGTCGGCGGCTCAAGGTCCTGGTGCAGGGCGAGTTGGCATCCCGAGGGTGGCCTGAGGCCGTACATGTACATCATGCATGGGTACGATCCTTCTGCCAAATGAGAGTGAGCAAGGGAGAGGGCGAGGCGGACGCACAAGTCAAGGAGAAGAGATGCTGCTTCCACCGAGCTGACTGGGCGAGGCGCCTCAGGTAAGCAGCGCGAGGTCGAGCAGTGAGCCACCAACCGGTACGTAAGCAGTGAGGGTCGAGCAGAGTCACAGGGGCGAACAGTGAGGTCACGGGGCCAGTGACGTCGGAGGGGCAGCGCGCGTCACCCCACCACCGCCAGACCTGCCCACCTCTGGCAAGGCTCGCCTCTGCTCCGCGGTCACGTCAGGCTGCACTTTGTACCGGCTCCAGTGGCCTCGCCCTCACACCACTGACGCTTGTTGATGCTGTGACAGGGTCGACGGAGGGGACGGGCACGCCAGAAGTGAACTGATTCGTCCCGCTCCGTGACCAAGACGGCCACTGCAGTCGGCCACTACAGTGCGCCTGCTTCGAGTGCCAGTGCGCCTGCTGCGAGTCTTGCTGGGAAGGAAACCCCACCTGACCCCAGCTTGCCTGCCTTCCGTACGTGCTCCCTACCTTACCTCAGGCACCCGGCGTCTGTCACCTTCCCCGGCTTTCTCAGAGATCGAACGACATATGCTCCTTCCGTCTTGAACCCGACGACTCCCTTCCTTCTTTATGCTCCTTCTTTGTCCTCCTTCCTCGTCTCGAAAACCCATCACTCCCAAGCGGCCCCCGACCTCAACTCTCTTCCTTCACCGACGACCCACGAACTCGACAGCACCACCACATCCGCCTCGATCAACCATCATGACGTCCAACGGTGATACGCACATGCCTCCGCGCGGCGCTTCACCCCCCATCGGCTCGCCGCGGTCCCTGTCCGTCTCGCTACAGGCCGCCGCTACTCTCAATGCCGGCATCCAGCGTGAGCACGATGCCCCTCGTCGTACGTGCTGCCCCGCCACGGGCATTCCTGTCCTGCCCTGTCCTATGCCCGCCGCAGTCTCCCACACTAACCTCACCGTGTCCGCCCGCCACAGAATCGACGCAAGCCTCCCAACCACAGGGCTCCCAGTCGCCTACCGGCCGGAGACGATCTGCCGTGCTCATGAACCTCCACCTCAACGACCCTGCCCTTTCCCGGCCCCGGCGAGATGGTGGGCCGAGGAACAGCCCGGTCGCCACAACCAAGCCTCGAGCCCCAAACCCGAGCGCGGGCGTCTTGCCCTCCGCCAGCCCTCAGCCCATTTCGAGCTCGCCGCACCTGATTCAGGGCGGCGACCCCCATCACAACCGCTTTGATTTTTTGTTTATATTTTT